TTTGCCCACTTTTTGATAAGGTTTTTTTTTTTCTTGTAAATTTGTTTAAGTTCCTTATAGATCCTAGATATTAGACCTTTGTCAGATGTGTAGCTTACAAAACTTTTCTCCCATTCTCTAGGTTGCCTGTTCACTCTGATGATAGTTTCTTTTGCTGTGCAGAAGCTCTTTAGTTTGATTAGATTCTATTTGTCAATTTTGGCTTTTGTTGCAATTGTTTTTGGTGTTTTAGTCAAGAAGTCTCTGTCCATGCCTATGTCCTGAATGGTATTGCTTAGGTTTTCTTCTAGGGTTTTTATGGTTTTGAGTTTTACATAAAAACAGAGACACTTTCATATTAGATTAATGTAGGAAAAACAACTCAGTGAAACTAGATTTTGATGGAAAATTTTAGCACAGATTATGACTTTGTAAGATGTAAGACTCTGTCAGTGAATAACTGAAGGCTCTTTTCTGGGATCACTTTGCTCACAATTGTGTAGGCCCAGAAACAAATGTTTGGCCCTTTACTCTTTGCTTCCCTCAAGAAAAATTTGCTTTCCTGCAGTATATTAACAGAAAATTTGAGGTCCACTAAGGCCAACAGATCAGATGGTGACTGCCATTGAAAAGATAGTTTGTTATTTGCAGGTCCCAACAGAAAGGACCATGTCACACCATGGGGACCACCTGGGGAAGCACCAGAGTTGGTCATCTGGCAGAGGGAGGGGGTATCTATGGGAATAAATGGATGATACAGGGCAGGAGGGGAGTCTGAGAGCCCAGAAAAGGAGGTGGTTGTGGGAATGGGTTATGAATTGGTTAGTTTACGTTTGAAAAGCTTGCTCTCAGGCAAGCTGTTTACTACTGTTACCGAAACACCAGGGGTTTGGTCTGGGTCCTGCTGCTCATCACACGGAAAGCGATGACCGAGAAGATGATTGTTTCCAAGGAAAAAGGCTTTAATACGGTGCTGCAGCCCAGGAGATGGGAGCTTAGTCTCAAATCCATCTCCCTGACTGACTAAAACCAGGGGTTTATGTGGCAGGGAAGAAATGTAATAACGTGTAAGAAAATGTGAACTAGGGAGGGGCAAGGAAGTAATCATGATGAATGAGAGGTCTGGTATCTGGAGCGGTGATCCGGTGAGTTTTAGTTCTTTGATACTTTTTTGAGAGGGCTGAAAGTCCTTTCATAAGAAAAGAACTCAGATAAAACAAATGCAAGTTTCAAGTTTTAAGATCCAGAAAGGTCAATTTCTATGTTTATCCAAAAGAACAGTCTATGGGACTATTGGGATGGTTTCACTATCTCTAGGAAATGGGTAACCCTGGAATGGGCAGGAGACCATTTATGAAGATGTTCCAAACTCTTGGAATGTCTAAGCATTGAGGAGTTGGATCTGAAAAGCAGTGAATATAGCAAGAAAGGACAAGCCAAGTCTGTAAGAAACTTGGGTCCATGAAGATATGGAATAGAAACTTAAAGATACTCATATGACTTGTGCCTATGGTGAAAATAGTGTCACAAGGAATTAAATGTTATTTGTTTAAAACATACTATAAAATGATTAAACTACACTACAAGTGCCTTGCCAACACCCAGATGTTATTACTCCAAAACTATAGATCTCTACTATATGCCAATTTTGTCCAACACCCAGATGTTATTACTCTATAACTTTAGATCTCTGCAGATTGTCATGCTGGAGGCTGTGAATGCATGAAATATTTTATTATTCAGGTCAAGGGGTATCTATTGAATAAACTATATGATCTGCATGAATAGCGAGAGTTGGTCTCTAGCAATCTGTAAATTGCACTTCAAATGCTTAGCTTACACACTCTCTCACACACACACACACACACACGTTTGGACCTGCCTTTTCAAATTCCTAAAATGGCACAGCTACCCTCCTTATGCAGTCAAGAAAATAACCTTGGTTCCTAGTTGGAAATATTTTGGGGAATAGTCTCAGCAAAAGATTAAAAATATCAGGGCAGCATTGTTTCCCTAAGCCTTGTTTCTTTGGTAATCTTTACTCTCTGTCTCCCAGGCCCAGTGCTGCAGCCAACAAATGTTGGGAATGGCAGCTGATGACCTGAAATATTTCCTGCAGCTTGAAGTGCAGCCGGTGCTTGATTTTATTGCGTTCTGTTGCTTGGTGACACTTGGAGGGGCCATCAACTATAAGGAGGATGGTTAAGTGGCCCTGAGAAATTCTGAACCTCAATGCAGTCTCAGAGGCCCTCTTCTGAGCTATGCTCTGGAGAATGGACTCTAGACTGAATGACTTTTTCTGCAGAGAAAAGAAGAAAAGGTGGGAAGGTGAGACAGAGTTTCTAAAGCCACCTCAAACTACAGTTTAGTTTGGTCTCCTACATAATATTCCTGTTTAAGTGGGAGGTGGTTGGTGTGGATTCTTTCCTTTATTGAAATTATAATAGAAAATGTAAATTTGGTCTGAAGAGAAGGCCAAGTGGTAAATTCTGGCACTCATGGAGATCTTTCAGAGGTCATGAATGTCTGGATGTTGGAGTCAGTATTAGAACCCAGGTCACTCCATATCCACAGCCCTGGAGTCATTTTCTCTATCACTGTACACAGCAGGCAATTATAAATATTGTGAATACTCTGCTGCTGGTCTTCCTCTTCCCCTCCTCCTCTTCCTTCTGCTCAGGGCTTCTGATTCTTCTCCTCCTGCCTTCCTCCCTCCATTTCCTCCTCCTCCTCCTTCCTCCTAGTCATTCTTCGCCCCCTCCTCCTCTCTTCCTCCTTCCTCTTCCTCTTCCTCCGTCCCTTCTTCCTTCTCCTCCACCGCCTTCTCTCTTCTCATCATCATTATAACCACCATGTAGGGCGTGTCTATACTGTCCCACTGTTGTGCCAAGCACTTGACCTGCAATAGCTCATTAAGTCATACAATTGGTATTAGTAATATCATCCCCATTTTACCACGAGGAAATGAACACCTGGAAACACTTGTGGCCCACCTAAGTACTCACAGTTAGCAAAGGGCTGACATTGACCCCAGAGTTTCCTGACTTCAAGCCAGTGCTCTTAACTCCTTGAGGTCTACTTATCTGTAAGTGAATCACGCAGAAGAAAGCACATGGTTTTCTCCCCGGGCGTGGGTTAGCTGTCCTCAGGCCTTGTGGGTTTTGCAAAATTCCAAGGTCAATAATAAGTGCTCTGGTATCACTTCATATGTATGTGGATTGAGTCGGCCTTACTTCTAAAATTGCAGGCAACGTTCTGGTTCCCACACTGAGCTGGTCATTCTTACTGCCAGCGTTGTACTCAGCACTGCCGGTGCAGGCGGCCAGGCTCTGCAGATTCTTGGAAGCCACTTCTCATGAAGCTGCTTAAGTGATGCCACTAGTGCCCAAGACCTTTGCTTGCCCCGAGGGCCCAAGATGTACTTCATCTAGAGTAATTCTGATTGCTGGAAAAGAATTGAGACCAGCGTGGGCAAAAGGGTGAAACTCTGTCTCTACAAAAAAAAAAAAAAAATTATACATATATATACACACACACACATTATATATATGTGTGTGTGTGTGTGTGTGTGTGTGTATATATATATATAAGTTAGCCAGGCATGCTGGCACACACCTGAGGTTTTATGTCCATAAAACATAAATTAAGGCTTTTAATTTGAAACTATTATTTTTACTTCATTATATCAGTAAAACCTGCTTGAAAAAGATTTTTCTTTTTTTTGTTTTGAGACGGAGTCTTGCTCTGTCACCTAGGCTGGAGTGCAGTGGCGAGATCTTGGCTCACTGCAAGCTCCTCCTCCCGGGTTCATGCCATTCTCCTGCCTCAGCCTACCGAGTAGCTGGGACTACTGGCACCTGTCACCACGCCTGGCTAATTTTTTTTTTTTTTTGTATTTTTTATTAGAGACGGGGTTTCACCATGTTAGCCAGGATGGTCTCGATCTCTTGACCTCTTGATCCACCTGCCTCGGCCTCCCAAAGTGCTGGGATTACAGGTATGAGCCACCATGCCTGGCCTCTTTCTTTTTCTTTTCTTTTTGAGGCAAGATCTCACTCTGTTGCCCAGGCTGGGGTGCAATGGTGCAGTCATGGCACACTGCAGCCTCGACCTTCTGGGCTCAAGTGATCCTCCCATCCCAGCCTCCTGAGTAGCTGAGACCTCAGGTGTGTGTCAGCATGCCTGGCTAACTTTTATATATATATATACACACACACACACACACACACACACACACACATATATATATATATATTTTTTTTTTTGTACAGACAGAATTTCATCCTTTTGCCCAGGCTGGTCTCAAACTCCTGAGCTCAAATGATCCTCCCACCTTAGCCTCCCGAAGTGTTGGGATTACAGGCATGAGCCACTACACCTGGCCAGATTTTTATTTTTCTTATTGAAGTAACTTGTCATAAAATTTCCTGGTGAGAAGTCCCATCAAGACGTGAAATAGACACATTGTAAAGACATTTATGGAAAAGCAAAAATTCCATTTCCCGAAGCCATGCTCTATGCGTGATGGTTGGGAGGCTCTGAAATACTGGGACTGAGATGAATTATTCTCTGATGTCTGACTATCACAATGGTTTTAATCCAAGAATAAAACCAACACAAACAGTGTGGCTCTAAACAAAGAAAAAAGTCCATTTTAAAGCAATGTCTGTAAGCTTGGAAAGCACCTATTCTCTCTGGTGAGCTGTTAAAAATCCAAATAGTTGAGAGATTACAGATGGCTTTCCAAAGACCTGTTTTCTATTTTTTTCTCCTCCAAAATGATTTTTTAAATATTTAACATTAACAAGTAACAGTATTGGCTCATGTATTAGCCTACGACTCAACTTTAAGTTTTATTTTCTTCCAAAGCTTTTGTGGTGAGGTGAAGAGGCAAACTGTGGAGGGTGAGCCTGGTAACTATGGCAACAGCATTGCCATCAATGAAGTGGCTCTGAGAGCCCAAGGCCCTCAGGCTGGGAGGCTAATTCCTACAACAAAGACTTTTCTGTGTTCAACTGGGCACAGGAAAGCTGCTGGTTGTGATGGTGGCTAAGACAAGCCTTCAGCCCGAAGACCCAGGAGGGAAAAATGTGAGTCTTACCCTTCACGCGTTAATTATTTTATGAACAGATGAATGCAATGTGCTAGCAAACCTGCTGAATGTAATTCAGGCCTGCTCTCCAAAACCGTACCGTTGCTTCATTTGACATGCTCCTGCAGAAACACATTTAATGCTCGTCGTGTAAATCATTTGAACATGGTCTTTAAACATTTCTCATTCTGTGACGGTACCAAAGCTGTCTCGAGCATCTAAAAGGGATTATGAAAGCCATCCTTTCTACGGAGTTTGTTTTAAAATAACCCAACTATTAGAATATTATACTTCCATTAGTTGCTGGCTTAGTGGGATTTCCCACTCAGGAATGAAGTGGGATTTAAACTGGCTTGTCGTTCATAAGGCATGATTTCTAAAGTTGTCTACTGTGGTCATATTAGGAAGGGTATTTATTGCCAACTGAAAAATAATCAGTGTGTTATAAATTCAAGAGAAAATATACTCCAAATTAATAAAATGGGACTAGAAGTATTTAACCTGAAAAAAGGTATAATTTTGAATTCTAGAAAAAGAGGAGTGTTTGATTTGCAAATTTTAGTGACAGTGAAAATGTGCCTGAATTCCAGTTCATTTTGATTTACAACAACATCTGCATTGGAGGTGACAGTGGTAGAATTCTAGGCTTTTCAGTTAGATCTTGGTTTTCTTATTTTCCAGATATGTAATTGATATGGTTTGGCTGTGTGTCCCCACCCAAATCTCATTTTAAATTGTGCTCCCATAATTCCCACGTGTTGTGGGAGGGACCCGGTGGGAGATAATTGAATCATGGGGGTGGTTTGCCCCATAATGTTCTCGTGGTAGTGAATAAGTCTCACGAGAGCTGATGGTTTTATAAGGGGTTCCCGCTTTCGCTTCTCTCTCATTTTCTCTTGCTGCTGCCATGTAAGATGTGCCTTTTGCCTTCCACCATGTTTGTGAGGCGTCCCCAGCCACGTGGAACTGTGAGTCCATTAAACCTCTTTCTTTAGTAAATTGCTCAGTCTTGGTATGTGTTAATCAGCAGCGTGAAAATGGACTAATACAGTAATTCTGGTTGAAGGATTCAACCTCTTTTTGGGTGACTCTTCAGTTCTAAAATTGGGATAAAAATAGTACCTTAGAATGTTGTGAGAATTGGATGAGAAAATGTATGCAGTGTACTTAGCACTGTGACCAGTTAGGGTTCAACCCTGTTTTGTATTCCTAGGTCTACCCTTGATGGCTCAACTATGGCTAAGCTAATCAGGCCATGTGCCTATGTTTTGGAAAGTATTACTACAGTATAGAATGTGTCTATGGAAGTGTACAGTGAGAGTTAGCCTAACTCTTGACTTGGGTTTGAAGTTACTCAAGATGTTAGTTTTAACTTCTGGACTGTAGCTGAAGCGGCTACGTTGTCTGGGGTATATACCCTGGGGTTCGTTGTCGTGTGCCAGGAAAATTTAGGACATAGACACACACGAGGAGTTTAGGAGCCAAGGTTTAACAGGCAGAAGAGAAGAGAAAGAGAAACAGCTCTCTCCATAGAAAAAGGGGTCTCCAAGCAGAAAGGACTGGCTGTTGGTGAATGCACCAGGTTTTATAGTCCAGTTTGAGGAGGCGGTGTCTGATTAATATAGGGCTCAGAGATTGGTTCCATCACGTATGATGTTTACATAGCATGCGGGGATGGCTGGTTGCCCCACCCTCATCTTATGCAAATGAGCTTTCCAGGTGATTGGTGCCATCTTGTCTGCTGCTTACATTACATGTGGCTGACAAAGAGAAGGGAAGATGGAGCCGCCATCTTGAACATGATTGGCACAATGCAGGTATCTATGTGTGCAGCTTGATTTTACAGGATGCTCTTCGTTAGAAAGGAAAGTAATTCAGGGCTGCTTTTCATTAAAAAGAAAAACCTCACCAAGGCAGATACCCTTGCTATCTGCCTAAGTGATTTCTTCTTAACTCCTATTATCATAATGGTCACCATAGGACTCACTGTGGGTGGGATTGGCCAGCCATCCTGCTTCGTATAGAATCTCCTACTCTGGGGATGGACACTTATGCTTTTTCCTACAGCTGAGGATTAGGAATGCATGTGGAGGTGCTGTACTCTGGCAGTCCTTGCTGGAGGTGAGTAGTGTTCCTTAGCAGCTGCCTGCTGGGGGTCTGGGAAGGGAAAAGGGATAGGCAAGACGAATAAGCCACAGGCAAAGAATTTCTTCCCCACCTGGGCCCTGAAGCCTCTGGGATTCTTTGCCAGCAGGGCACCCTGAGGTTCCCCAAGTTAAGAATGAAAACGGTTGAAGGTCTCACTGCATCTTCTAGTGGATGGCTTGTCTTTTGTTTCCTGAAGTCACAAGGGTGAGACTGGCCAGGGCCTTGTGTGGTTTCATGCCTCAGGCTCCAGTGCACAGGAGAAAGGGCAGGGTTCACCTCCCAGCTCTTCTGCTTAATGGCTGCATTACCTTGGGCAAGACTTGGTGATATGGTTTGAGTCTGTGGCCCTGCCCAAATCTCATGTCAAATTGTAATCCCCAGTGTTGAAGGTGGGGCCTGGTGGGAGGTGATTGGATCATAGGGGCAGTCACTCATGAATGGTTTAGCACCATCCCCGTAGTGCTGTTTTCGGGATTTAGTTCTTATGAGATCTGGTTGTTTTAAAGTGTGTGGCACCTGCCCCCTTGCTCTCTCTTCCTCCTGCTCTGGCCATGTTAGAAGTGCCTTCTTCCCCCTTGCCTTCCACCATGATTGTAAGTTTCCTGAGGCCTCCCCGGAGGCTGAGCAGATGCAGCCGTGTTTCCTGTATGCTGCAGAATAGTGAGCCAATAGAACCTCCTTTCTTTATCAATTCCCTGATCTCAGGTGTTTCTTTATAGCAGTGTGAAAATGGACTAATACACTTGGTGTCATCAAGAGAGCTGTGGAGAATATTAGTACTGAACCCAAGGGGGTGATATGAGGATTCTACGAAGAGACACCCAAAGTGTCTCGCACAGCTTATGGTGCCTAGAAAGTCTTCAGTTCAAACTGGGTATAAGTGGTTCCTAGTGGGATTTGGGAGCCTCTAATTGCCTTAAGGCAAGTGCTGCCCCTCCATCGCCCACTCCTGCCTGTAGCTCTGAATTACATGAGTTCCCTATGGGCTGGCATGGGTAGAGCTGTGAGATTCTAGGCTGTAGGCATCCTGTCCCCTATCCTAAAGGCCACATCAATTGAAGAATTGCCCTGGGCAACATGCTTGGGGAAAACAACCAGCTGTACTGAGGGTCATTAGGTTCCTGATGACTTCAGAGGTCCTAGTGATAGGACCGTGGCACCTGTACAAAGCTGGCTGGGGCTAGAGAGGCATCTGCCAATTCATTCTGCTCTGTCTCTCTTTTCCTGCCCTTCTCTCTGTCTCTGACTCTCTCTCTCTGTCAGTCATGCAGCAACAAAAGCTACAGGGCAGAAGCAAGTCACACCACACTCAGAAAACACCAGTTAACTGGAGACACATGTGACGACAAGCCAAACAAGGTTAAGAGCTTTGTTGAAGGGGTGAAGACCCCAAAGTGGGGCATGGACTATATTGGGATATCAATCAACAGGGACTTGAGGAACAAAACCTGCATGTTTGCATCAAATGCCCCCTGACCTACCAGATAAGGCCTCCCCACCCCCAACCCCTTTAATGTCAGCATCATCTTTTTAAAAAGTTATAGGTGTAGTATTTGTTCACGGTAAAAAAAAAAATCTAAATGGCACAAACAATAAAAATCCCCTTTCTCCTCTCATTTTTTCCCCAGTCTTTAGAAGTAATAATTTAACACACCATATGCATTTGCTAGATAATCGCCAATGTTTTCTTTATCTTGTATTATTCTTTTGGATTCATTGTTTGCTTTAGGTGATAAAGTGTTTCTATGATGGTTCAAATAAGGTTCCTGTCTCCAGGTTGTTTAATCCAACTGTATTAATTTCCTAGGTAACAAACTACCATAAACTTGGTGACTTAAAACAGCGAAAATGTGTTCTCTCACAATTCTGGAGGGCAGAAATCTGCCACTGAGGTATTGGCAGAGCTGCAACTCACTGAAGGTTCTAGGGAGGATCCTCCCTGGCCTCTTCCAGCTTCTGGTGACCCCAGTTACTCCTCAGCTTGTGGCAGCCTCACTCTAGCCTGTGCCTCCAGTCCGACACGGCCTTCTCCTCTGGTCTTTGTGTCTCCTCATCTCCTCTTACAAGGACACCAGCCATAGGGTTGGTGTCCACCAGTCCACCCTAAAACTTGGACATCTCATCTCAAGATCTTTAACTTAATTACATCTGCAGTGACCTTGTTTCCCCAGTAAGGTCACGTTCTGATTCCAGGTGGACTTGAATTTTGGGGAGACATTACTCAATCACTACAAAGTTCACTCTGTCTCCGGCTCTGTTTTCTTGCCCCTCTTGGCTAAGGTAAATGATCTTAAAACTTTAAGTAGATGTTGGCCGGGCGTGATGGCTCATGCCTATAATCGCAGCACTTTGGGAGGCCAAGGCTGGTGGATCCCGAGGTCAGGAGATCAAGATCATCCTGGGTAACATGGTGAAACCCCGTCTCTACTAAAAATACAAAAAATTAGCCGGGCGTGGTGGTGGGTGCCTGTAGTCCCAGCTACTCGGGAGGCTGAGGCAGGAGAATGGCATGAACCTGGGAGGCGGAGCTTGCAGTGAGCGGAGATTGCACCACTGCACTCCAGCCTGGGTAACAGAGTGAGACTCTGTCTCAAAAAAAAAAAAAGAAAGAAAGAAAGAAAAAAAAACCTTTAAGTAGATGTTGACTCATTTTCAATACTCTGACAATCTGAGAGTGGCCAGCAGCCAGTGCAGAGTCCCCATCATTGAGAATTAGTACTATTTGAAATAGTGCTACAAACTCTTTGAGCCACTTTGAGAAGAAACTTACCACCAACAGAACGTCCCCCAAAATGATGATGCAAAATCAATAAAGATCTTGATCAAAGATTCTTGGTAACTTCCCAAAGA